GAGAAAGATATGGACCACCACTCCAACTAAGCCAATAATCTCGATTGAATCCTTTAAATTTTTGGCCTGTGATCAAGAATGGGCTAATACCTCAGTGTCTCTTGGTGTCAAAGCTTCAAGGCAAGGTTTTTAAAACCAAAATAGCACAATTACATCCATCTTAGATGAGGGTCAGAGTAACTCTGAAACATTTGATAGAACCTAATTATTTCAGACACAACTTGTCTATTTTGATTTATATCTTTTTCTGTTATTTTAGTTTGTATAATCACTACTTATTTTGGTTAATACATCTGGGCCATGGTCAGGGTCATGGAAATCCCAAATGTGTTGTCAATGCAGACCTGGCTGTCAGGGGCCAGGGAGTAGACTGCTAAGTGTCTACAGATTCAAAAATGGAATCAGGGCAACATAGCATGCCATTAACCTTTCTGAGTGTCATGTTTGGGAAACAGAAATATCTGTTCTGTAGATGCAACTGAATTTTTTGAAAGGAATGAATAAAATACTCCATTGAAATTGTTTTATGAATGACAGATGCTCTACAGATATTATTGTGCCACTTAACTGGGGCATACAGTGTGTTTTGTATTCGCCAGTTCATGTAGTACCCTACTTATCTGGGTATAACAATTTTTCTTTTTGAGATAGGGTAGCACTTTGTAGCCTTGGCTGGCCTGGAACTCATTACATAGACCAGGCTGGCCTTGAACTCATAGACACTGTAGGGTAAAAGGGCCACTTAAAGCTACCCACTCTGGCCCTGAAACCAGAGCCAGTGAAAGAAACACTTTGGCCCTGAATCCAGAACCAAAGAGACATACCCTGACCCTGTAACTAGAGCCAAAGAAACACATTTTGGCCTTGGAACCAGAGCAAGTAAAAGAAATACACCCTGGCTCTGAAACTCGAGTCAAAAGGCTGGCTAAAAAGGACCTCAGAAAGCAGAGCCAAATCTGCCCCTGACTAACTGAACATGAAACCAATTCCTGAGCAGAAAACCAACCAATCCCTGAGTATGAGATCCAGCCAATCTGAGTTTGTCTAAGCTCAAGGGGATCAAAATCTGACCAATTCCCTCCACCCCTAAGAAGCCCTTATTATATAAGTCCCTCTGCCTGTTCAGTTGGAGGCTGTCCTAATGCACCCTGGCAGCATCAGCCACTCTCCTGTATTCCTCCTTCCCAAACAAATCTTTCTTGAAGGAGTTTTGAGTGAAGACCCCTTTGCCAGCAGGGAGCAGAGCCTCTGCTGGGAACTCCCTTGGGAGGTGAGCAAAAGTAACAACTTTTTGCAGGAGCTGGAGCTGGAGGAGATTGCTACATGTCTGCAGCCGTTGCCCCTTTAGCAGGTTGAAGCAGAAGTCACCTTGGGTTGGAACTGAGAAGAAAGGGATACCTCTGCTGAGAAGTTCCCTTAGGTGGGCAGCGCAGACCTCGTCTGTACTGGGCTCTCAGAGAGGAGCAGGATGGCCACACCCTGCTGGGAGACCACCCAGCTTCAGGTTCCTCATAGCTGCAGGTATCCAGAAAACCTTCCCTTCACAGCTGTAGGTATAGCCTGACTTCCCCACAAGTCAGGATACCTTTCCCTCCAGATCACTTGCAGAGACCCCTGCCTCTGCTTCCTAAATGCTAGGATTAAAGGCTTACGCCTTTAATGTGTGGCCTTGTTTTGTCTTCCCTAGGTTCCTTCTGTTTCCTGAACGCTGAGGTTATAGGAATTTGAGAGACCGAAGTAGGCCAGGATTTGAACTCAGCTTCTCATGGTTGTACAAGCACTCTTAAGAGCCATCTCTTCAATGCCAGTTAATTACAAGTCTAACGGAAGAGGGGTGAAGGCATGGCAGCAGGAACACCCGAGAGCTCACATCTCAAACCCTAAGCAGGAGAGAGGCAGAGAGCACACTGAGGATTCAGGGAGGCCTTTGAAAGCTCAGAGCCCACTCTGTGACATCCCCAACCCCAGCTCCCAAGGCCACACCTCCTAGTCCTTCCCCACAGTCTCCACCAACTGGGACCAAGTATTAAAACATGAGTCTGTAGAGACCATTCTCATTCAGACCAGCACAAGGAATGTGTCACCATAACCACAGGCATTATAAACTTTCCATTTTTCTTTGCATTCAAGAATATATGACTTTAGGACTTGCTACAAATTATGTTTGCACGCTGAAGACCAATGGCTATTTGCTTCTTTTATGTCATTGGTTGACAACCATAACCCACGAGGTCAATTTTTCAAGTGCCAAACTTTCAGTTTTATTTTAAAACAAGCAAACATATTTTCAACATACCATATGCTTTCATTTATATTTCTGTTTGTAGGCATTGACCACAGTATGCAGACCCAACTCAACGAAAGCAATTAACAGAGTAAGTAACAGTGGTAGATGTCAGTACTGTGGTCAGAGTGGGTACAAGGTGGGAGAAGCTGTCAGGTTGCTCCTGTGGTCACTGCATCTTCAATGCTGAGGATTCAGAGGTACAATTCTCTTGTGAGAGAACTGATGACCCAGCTAAGCCGCTCTAAACTTGCACAGAACACAATTACAGAGCAGAGGGCCAACCTACTCATAGGGACCATTCAAGTGGATCAAGTTGTAAGTACTACTAGCAGAACCCTGAATTTAGAGGAAAAGATGTATGGGGCGTTCGCAATCCAGGGGCATGACATGCCGTGTCTGGCCCTGTCAAATCTGTCCACCCAATGAGGGTGCTATCTTGCTTGGATAATGCCAGAAAAAACTAGGAAAACAATCCAATTTCCCAACTCTTCCTGTTTCAACATTCTATGTTGGTCACCAAAGAGATTAGGATTCCTTTCCTGTTCAGAGTGTTCTATGCTGGATCTCCTCTAATATGGGTACCCTTAACATCCAGGTTACCTTTATAGAGACTAAGGAAATGCCCTGGGTCTTGTGTCTGCATCATGATTAATAATTTCTGGGTAGACAATATTCTATAGGTATACGCAGAGTACTAAATCTTGCCAATGTCTGTATTAAAACATTGGAATCTTGGAATATACCCTTTTGAGGACAGTAAGCCTCATACCCACTACACAGCCAGGGGCATCAAAATAAACACATGCGTGTATTTACACAGAGTAACTGAGTATTTCCATACTATGATCACGACACAAGGAATAGAGGCTAAGTTTGGTATTTTACTCTGCAACAAGAATGCCACTGAAAGGTGTGAGACAGCCAAGGTGTGAGACAGTTCCAAGTGGCAACTGAATCCCCCTCAAAAAGGGTATTTTCAGAAAACTATGAGGGTTTGAGTGCATAAAAAAAATTAGAGAATCAACCATGTGACAAAGTCTTCAAAGAAAGTACTTTTCGAATCATTGGACAACAAAAAACAAAACAAAAGACCCTTGATGCCAGGCAGTGGTGGCGCATAACTTTAATCCCAGCACTCTCGAGGCAGAGGCAGGTGGATTTCTGAGTTTGAGGCCAGCCTGGTCTACACAGTGAGTTCTAGGACAGGCTTCAAAGCTACAGAGAAACCCTGCCTTGAAAAACCAAACGAAACAAACCCAAAACAAACAAAACCCTTTGAGCTGGCCGGATGGCTCAGCTCAGTGGTTAAGAGCACTGGCTGTTCTTCCAGGGGACTTGTGATCAACTCCCAATACTGACATTGCTGCTCATTCTACACCCTCTTCTGGCCGACCTGGGCACCATCATGGTATAGACATACATGCAGACAAAACATCCTATACATAAAACTAAAGTGCTTTTTTGCCAGGCGTTGGTGGCATACTCCTTTAATCCCAGCACTTGGGAGGTAGAGGCAGGCGAAACTCTGTGAGCTCCAGGCCAGCCTGATCTACAGATTGAGTGCCAGGATAGGCTCCAAAGCTACACAGAGAAACCCCTATCTTGAAAAACCAAAAACAAACAAAACAAAACAAAACAAACCACTAAAGTGCTTTTTTAAAAAACAAAAAAACCACCTTGTTTTTTGAAGTAGGGTTTATGTAGCGTTTGTCTGGCCTTGAACCCAGAGATCTTCCTGCCTCTGTCACTGAGATGACATTGCTGCCATGACCAACTGAGAGTCGTTTTGTAAGTAGTGTAAATCTTTACATCTTGTACTCCTATGACTCACTGAGGCAGAAGGCAGCTGCCACACCTGGCCTGCTCACTCTGCTCTGCCAGCTCTTCCTACACTGCAGCCCAAAGACTACACTCACAACAGGAACTAGCAATTTTTATGTTAATAGCTAGATCACCAATTGGTTTAGAATGCAAACTTTCTTTTTGAGACCGGGTCCTCATACCAGCCAGGCTGGCTTAGAACTTCCCTTCAGGTGTTGGGATTATAACAGCACACACTGCCAACCTACTACAAACAAGGGTACTGATAGTAAAGAGGTTTCTCAGTGTCATGAGACCACAACTGGGCTGAGAACTCACCCCTCAACCGCACTCCTGGCTCTGAAAGAATCCCTGAGATGCAGCAGCTAGGTCTGAGGCATCTAGAACATGGGGCATGCTCCATAAAGGTGAGGCTAAGCAAGCGCTGTGGAGCATGTGACTTCCTGAGGACTGGGAGAAAGCAACAAAACTAAGGCTGGGCAGTATTGGCAGCCCACGCCTTTAGTTCCAGCACTCGGGAGGCAGACAGGAGGATCTCTGTGAGGTCGAGGCCAGCCTGGTCTACAGAGTGAGTTCCAGGACAAGCTCCAAGCTACAGAGAAACCCTGCCTTGAAAACAAAACAAAAACAAAATTCTAGAGTATAAAAGCAAATAAAATAAAAAACACAAACAAAAAACAAGTTAATACAAAGAAAAAAATTTCAAAATAATGATAAAATCTACTTAACATTCCCTGTCCTAAACTGTACAGAAGTTTAAAGAAGAAAGTCACAAAAACCAAATTAACCCCCACCCCACCCAAAAAACGACCACTCCCCCCCAACAGCATTTCTGAATATAAAGTGCTGGTTTCTTGCTTCAGTTTTGAACAAAAGTATCACAAAACCATCATCTATTCTATTGACCTTTCTGGTCAGATTATGTATTTGGGTCCACATTGATGTGCAAATTAACACAGCCTTTCAAGTTTTCTAGCTAGTGCAAATTAAAAATCCCACGTGTACATTAGAAATATTTGACTTTATATTACAGATGAGAATTCTTCTTTCTGACATGCTGCTGGTAGAAGTACTCAGCTTACAGCACAAATAAGAACTTTTCTGAATCAGTCTATGTTACAACCAGGTACACAAATGTTCAAAAGGCAACTACTACAGATTTTCATACTCTAAAAAAATAAAATAAATAGTTTCACTATAAAATTTTTATAAATATCAGCTTACATTACAGTTCACAGCTAAGAGTTACAGAAAATCTAAAACATTTAAATCCAGCGACCTTACTACTGGACAACATCTATTCTAGACAGAAGTGCCTCTGACTCTACTAAATATAACAAAGCACTGCAAACTGTCTGCCTAAGGGCCTAGAGGAACTGCCGGGCATTTGGTGTTTAAGCCGCTAAGTTCACGAGGCATTAGGAATGCATCAGGGCAAAAGAAGACAAGAGATGCAAAAACAGATGGTTCATAGTTTTTCCTGAGAACATGTAATTTATGTTGCTGTTCAGACAACTTTAAACGGAACAGACGATCTCATGGTGAGCCAGGGTATAAGTGCAGATCCCTGGTAATGTCAGCTACTACTCCCTAATATATAACTTGCAAACACCAAGTCTTACATATTGTATTCAAACAAGGCACAAGCCTATACATCTATCTGGAATGCAGGGTGTTTTGTGATGCGGTATTGTGAAAGCTACAGAATAAAAATCTGAGTAAGGCATCAGAAAAACAACATGGTGTGTTGGGGGAAGGGGACGCAGCCTGCTCTAACTAGAGTATCTCTAGAGTTACCCTAATTATTCCAACTCATAGCCCCAATTAATGATTTGTTTCCACTACAAATGAGCACTATGAACTACAGGTAAATTTAAGAATGTCCCTTAGAGGGTGACATCTTAACAACCCTGACCATAAATCCAAGGATGAATTTCATTACACCCAAAACAGGATCCATTCCCGAGGGAAAGCTGCAAACTCTCGCAGCCTCGGCTGCAGTTATCCAGTGTGAAGACCTATGAGTAGGCTGGACAGACCTGTGGGACATCTGTCAATGGTACAATTTGGCATCACCTGGGAACAGGTAGAAGAGGTTAATCTAGCAGTGAAAAATTACTTTGCTAAGTTGTCCTTTTAAAAACATGGTCTAGCCTGAGGTGACTCAGACTTAAGTTTATGGCAATTCACTGACTATAGATCCATAATAAAACATTTAAAAGGGAGATAAATGGTGGTTTTAGGACTAGATTCTAGTCTTTTAGAAGTTAATCCATGCAAGACCACCAAGTGCAAATATGCCATTTGTCAGAAACACATGGGGCTAGATGCCCACTGGGTGTGGCTAACTGCAGAGGCAGGTCACTGACAACAGCAACAGGGCACCCTCTAATGGGGAGCCGTGGAACCGCCTTTCAATAAGTACTTGGCAACAGAGGGTTGAGGTGTAGCGAAACAAAGCTTTGTGACCCCAAGTTCATCATGTGCCCTCCCTTTCGGAGTCTGAGGAAAGAGCACAGTGAGTGTATATGCCATGGAAACCAAGGGGGAGACGTCTATGTGACTATGACCACAGACTTATGAGACCACTTTATCAGATAAAACTGTACTACAGTGTAAACACTAAACACAAGGATCATGCCACAAGGTTAATAATAAGTTAAAATAGATATCTTTCCCACTTTGAAATAAATAGGACATAAACATCTCAGCAAAGAGTCCTCTCTGTCAAAACCCTGCAGGGTTTCACAACACAGGACTACTCACTTGACACAAAGGCAGTCAGCCTAGACCTTTTTTTTTTTTTTTTAAAGTAATTAATCTAACTCGGAAGCTTCCCTTATGTCTATTTTTCCCCACTGTCAACACTATCTTTTAATCACTAGAGAAGCTGGCGAATTATAGAGCTTCCAACCCAGAGTACTCTTAATCTTACTTTAGACCCATTCTCCTAAAATATATATGTGTGTGTGTGTATAGTGATCTAGACTTCCTTCCAGAGGACCTAGGTTCAATCCCTAGTACTGCCCAAAATAAAAACAATTAAAATAAAAAGATTTTTGCATTTCAGTTCAATATGGCCATTAAATACCCAGAGACCTAAAAATGATGGCAGAAAATATACTACTGTAAAAATTTTAAGTACCATCTCTCTTCCCCTTCTCTCCTCAGGGGCTCCTAGAAATCAGAATGTAGGGTCCATTGGGTTTGAGGTGTGGGAAATCTCAGGAAGCACACTGCAGGAGTAAGCCCAGTGTTAACCACAGCAGTTCAAAAAGCAAGTTAATTTTTAACATGGTATGTTGTCTCTGTATCAAAATCTGAGAAATGATTTTTTTTTCATCCACACCCTGTCTGTCAAATATGTCACTTAAGACAGTTCATACTGCAGAGTGAGCCCCAGTCTTGAAACATTCAGTCAGGAGAAACATTTCATCTTCATGCAACTTTGTGCGGTTTTTTTTCCCCCCAAGATCAGAGGATCTTGCTGATAAGAGTTTGTGTTTGTGAGACTGAAGTCTAGCTGTGGAAACGCTGTTTGCATAAGCTCACACCATTATACAAGGAATGAAATGAAGACTGGCGTGCTAACAGTACTTCCTGTGGGCTACCATGTATCTACTGGCGTGGGCAGATGCTGTTGCAGCTCATCCCTCTATTCAGCATCCTTTTGGTCCTCTTGATCCGAAGCACTGGAGAGGTCATCATCTGTCTGCTCTCCGGAGAAGTAGAGCATCAAAGCATGTGTCTTGTGTGTTATGGTGACAGTACAGGGTCCCTGGGCCCAAGGCTCCCCATCCACCTGCATTGGCATCATCGAGCACTTCAAAATCAGCTGAATCAGGAATGATTAGAAAAGTGTCAGTTCTAGAAACCACAGGCAGCTCTTCCTATCTCCCACTATTCCCTACCGGCCCTTAACCTTTGCCATTAAATAAAAACTCATGCGAATGTACCAAAAGACTGTTTAGGGATTCTCTGCAGTGGGCATTTTATTTCTTTAACTGGCCAGCTTCCTGCAAGCTCCTGTATAGTCTATGGAGATCAGAGGAAGTGGCAGGTGCATGCTGTCTTCTCCATATCCACAGCTTGGAAACAGCAGGCTACTTACCCGCACTGTATGTGCTTGTCCTATTCGAAAAGGATTTGCCAGTTTCACTTGGATTTGAGCACAGTGGAAAGACCCATACACTCCAACAACTTCCAGTAAACCATCATCATGCCTAACATCGGAACAAGAAAATATGGCTTATAGAACGCATAAAATCAAAGTATCCATGGAAAGCAAAGCAGTTACTCTTTAAGTGGGCCATCCATTTATTTATTTACTCATTCGTGTTTGCTTGTTTATTTATTTATTTATTTATTTATTTATTTATTTATGTGATTAAAAGCATGCAGTGCCACCATGCCCTATTCCATCAACTTATTAATGTCCATGTTAACATATACAGAAAGTGAAAACTGGAGGGAAATATATGAAAGTTTACTAAAAACAAAACAAACAAAAAAACCCAAAACAAAACAAAAAAAGAGAAGGTTGGATGTAGAGACCCACGCTTTTAATCCCAGCACTCGGGAGGCAAGAGCTATGAGTTCAAAGCCAGCCTGGTCTACCAGGTGAGCTCCAGGACACCACATAGTGAAGACCTGTGTTTGTTTTGTCTAGAAACAAAACAAAACCAAAAAACAACAAAAACATTTTAAAGCCACGTCAAACCAAGACTGCAGCTGACTGTGTTGACTAACAGCTGTAATGCAGCTCTAGGGAGGCTGCAGTGAGAAGACGGAGTTCAAGGTGAATATGGTTTACACAGTGACACCCTGCATCAAAACCCAACACTCCCAAACCAATCAACCAACTACACTGCAAATGTACATACCTGGCCAGAGGGTAAGTCTCGTCTCCCATTCCTTCCCACAGCCTGCAGCCTCCGCCCCAGTATCCAATGTTCAGTACAATAATACCTTCCAAATTAGGCAGTTCAACTCGCTCACCATCCAGTTCTAGCTTTAAGGAAATGTAAGTTGTTAGTCATTACAGGGCACCCATTTCCACACCTGTCTACTTATAACTGACTTCAATATGCATATTCACAGATGTGAGAAGTGGCTGAGGGGAAGTCAACTCCTCACACTCGAGGCAACCTGGCCATTCCTGCTCTTCACACAATGGATTCAATTCTCTTTTAAAGATTTATTTATTCACATATTTTATGTATTTCAGCGCTGTCTTCACATACACCAGAAGAGGATATCAGACCCTATTATAGATGGTTCTGGGCCACCATGTAGTTGCTGGGTGTTGGGAGCCAAGAACGAACAATTCTATTAGAAAGTGTCTTGGGGTCCAAAAAACCTCCTGTCCCAGTAACCAGGAGCTCCAGTCTACAATTGTATTGCAGATGATTGCTAATCTGCTATTGAATGGCATAGCCTCAGTGGAGTATGCCTCCTAGTTTGCATCTCTATGGGCCTAAGCATTGAGTAGGCCAGCACTTGTGCCAAGAACCCTGTCTATGTGCCTAGGAATTGTTTAGGTGATGCTTGAATTAACAGAATCACTTGATATCAGCTATATACATCATAATAGATGCTTCCTGGTGCTGCCCCAGCCCTTGGAAAACTATTTAAATGGACTCCTCAATGAATGGACTCCTCAATGAACTGTGGCTTCTCGGTATCAGATGGGAGCCCTCTTGAGATGATATGGTTTTTCCTGCTTCATCATTAGTGCCATTAGGTAATTAGATTCCCCTATTCAGAATCGGACCCGGGACTGTATGGCTGGCTCTGTTCACAGTCCTGAAGACAGCTGTCCGGTACAGCTGGGAATTGAACTCAGGACCTCCGCAAGAGCACTTAACTGCTCTCTCTAGCCCATGGAATCAATTCTTAATTAGTTTATTCCTGGTGTGTGTGCACCCACATGTGTACTGAGGTCGATCTGGCTCTTAGTATGTTTTTTAACTTGGGTTCTGGAGATTGCATTATGGTCCTTTACCAACTGAGCTATCTTCTCAGTCCCAAGTGGAACAACATTCCTTTGTCCCAAACCTCACTTCCCTTATTTATTTATTTATTTTAAGATTTATATATTTTAAAATGTTTATGTATATTCAGGTGGTGCTAGCCCACACCTTTGATCCTAGTACTCATGAGGCAGAGGCAGGCAGATCTCTGTTAGAGTGAATTCCAGGACAGTCTCCAGACCCTGTTCTGAAAAACCAAAAACCAAAACAAAACAGAACTTTATGCGTAGTATGAATTCCTACAGGCACCTGCATGCCTGGTGCCTAGGGAGGTCAGAAGAGGGCTTCAGATACCCCTGAACTAGTTACTTGGGCACCTTACTCTATAAAATAGTCAGAGAAAGCACAAGGCACCTTACATTCTCAAACCAGGAGGCTGGTGCTATATGCGCTGTGTTCCCACTGCCCATCCAGAGGAAACCAGATGACACTGACCATCTTATATTCCTGACAGTATTTTGTGGAATCCACCATTTCCCCTGCAAATATTTCTTACAGGCTGTGCACTCGACCTCATTCATGTCTCATGCATCCTGATACATCAGCTGGCACCACCAACATGTCACTCCCTCATTATAGCCTTCACTGGCTTGCTTACCCTGGCACCTGAGGCAAAATTCAAGTTCCAAACAGGCTGCTATGGTAACACATGGGCTGGCCTCTGTCTGGATGTCTTTAGCCTTGGTTCTCGCCCTCTTCCTCCCTGCAAACTATGTTCTGCCTTGAAGCTCTCTTACAGGCAGGCATCTGTGCTCTGTAGGCTCTGGGTTTGATCTCCAGCACCACACTCAATAAAACTTTCATGGACAGTCTTGCAATTCCTTCCCTGCAGGGTGGCTTCTCAGAAGTGTTCAGCTAAGAACACTTTGTTGGATGGCAGCAGCTTTCTGGGCTAGTGTATCAGGCTCCTTACTGCATGCTCATGCTATCCATTCTTTCCCCAAGATCTTTATCATTCCTCCCCTTATTTTACAATAGTTTTGGGTTTCTCTAACTAATGTCTCTGTTGTTGTTATTAACTATTACAGACTCTAGAAGCAAGAAAGATACACAAGACTGCTATATATGAGGTCAGGAGTCTGTAGCAGCATACGATCAACAGTATCCTATTTTTACTGTTCATACATTTTTACTTGACACGTAAATAGTACCATTCAAAACATGAATGAATCTTAAACTTTCATGAGCATTCGGATGAGCCAGCACTGTGTTAGGAACTCTGAATTTGCTCTCAGTCAGCCTACCAGGTGAACAGATTTTGGAAACAAACCAGGGTCCAAGCTGTGACTACCAGTTCCTGTGGCCATGAACTATGTGACTTAGGAAAATAACTTAATTTCAAATGGTTTTGCTGTCTCTGGGAATATAGGAATGTTTGACATATATGTCAGCACTGAAAATTTAGAGGAGTAATGAATATAAGGAATTTAGTCAAGTGGAGGCCATCAAGAGATGGCTCACTGGTTAAGAATACCTACTACTCTCACAAAAGACCCAGGTTCAGTTCCAGGCACCCACATGGCAGCTTACAACTGTCCTGAACTCTAGCTCAGGGGATCTGGTGCCCTCTTTGAGTCACTAAAGTTACCAGGCACACAAGTGGAACACTTACATATATGCAGGTGAAACACTCATACACATATAAAACAAATAACAAACAGCTTAGGCAAGTGCCTAGCAAAGGAACAGACACTTTACATCCATGATCAAAGTTTGTTTACAGAAAATTCAGCATTTGTTAAAGAACTTCAGAATCCAGACAACACACACTCCTTTAGAAGACATTAGTAGCTTACCTCAATTTTTTTATTCAAATCTTTACACTCTTGCACTAAACAATCTTTAGTTCCATAGAATAAATAAACAGCCTATGAAAATAGACAAAATACAACATTAAAGCATCATGAAGACACTGTAAATATGGCATTAAAGCATCAAGAAGACACTATAGCAAAGCTCCTGCTATGCTGTAAGCCATCGCTTCCCATGTGGCCTGGATACTAAAGGACAGAAAAATGGAAATGCCTCTGGAATACAACCCCATTTCACACCCTTTAAACACCCACTCAGCATTTTATCACGCAACTGCAGTAGAATTCTAGGTGAACTGTGGCCATGACTCATGAACTGTTAACGGCCTCTCTCTCTTTGGCAATAGGGTCTCATGTAGGCCAGGTTAGCCTAGAATTTGTTACTTAGCTTGAACTCCTAATCCTCCTGCCTTTGCTTCTTGGGTTCTGAGATTACAGTTGGTTGGCTATCACATCTGGTTTCATGAGTTTAATCTGGGGATTAAACTCAGGGCTATGTGCACACCACACAAGGACTCTGCTCTTTTTTTCTCTGACAGGGTCTTGCTATGTAATCCAGACTGGCCTTGAATTTGTGGTGATTCTCCTGCCTCAGGTTTCCCATTCTTACAGAATGATTCTTCTCTTTAGAAGGCGACAATAAAATCCATTATTTTTTGCTCTAACTAGTCTTTTTCAGAAGGAATGTGGGATATGGTCGGGATGGTTTGTGTTTAAATAGTATTGCCTCCTGATTTATCCAAAAAGTATTATTTTTACTATGTTGAAGTAAGAAAACTCTACTTTTTCCCAGTACTCCAAACTATTAAAGGAAAATGCATATAAAGCTAGCAAACATTGTATAGACACAAAGTGAGTTTCGGGATAATACAGAGAAATTGTCCCCAAAAACAACCAAACCAAATCAAAATCACACCAAATAATACTTCTGTCAAAGGGAGTGATGACTTTTGCTAAGAGCCAATGTGAACAAATGCCTCTTTCCTTACCTCATTTGCCTCGTGTGGCTTTCCTAAGCCACCAGAATATATTTCTCTATTAGTAACTTAACCAAAAATTTATTTTCCATAGAATTTCTTTCAGCTGTTTAAGATATACTTTAACATATTCATTAACTTCCATCTAAGTGAAATATCCCAATCTCTACTTTTAAAACTCTTGCTATAGTTTTAAAACAAAATATATTTATAGATTTTAATTTGAAATCCTATACAAAGCAGGGCATGTAAATGTTCCCATAAGTTGGTCTGATCTGAATCTAAGAGTGCTGAATAGAATTGAACTATTGATTTTTACTGTACCTTCGTGATAAGCAGGAAATCTTATTTTATCCCACACACCTTGTTAAGAATTCTGCTGGAAAACAGAGACGGTGCCTTCTCACGATGAGCGTGAAAATTGAGAGCCATGAGGGCATCAGGTCCAATAGAGAAGTAGTTGTTCATTGTGAACTCCTGCAGTGAGGAACCGACAATGACTCTACCAGCTGTGTCACCCACTGGTCAACCTCAGTCTGCATTCTTTTTGAAAAGAAAATACTTTCTGTATTTACATTTCGCAGACTGTCATAAACTGCCGATGTAACAGCCCTGGCTGTCCTGGATCTCATTCTGTAGACCAGGCTAGCCTCGAACTCAGAGATTTGCCTGCCTCTGCCTCCTGAGTGCTGGGATTAAAGGCCTGTACTACCACTGAGTTTTCTATGCAGGCTTTACTCACTCCTGTGTTCTCTTGGTACTTGTTCTGCACCTTCTTTGTAACTTCCAGATTCTGCTGGTCTTAACTCTTTATTCCCTTAGTTTGTATTTTGCCAATTCAGTCTAAATTCTTCAGTCTTCGTGTCTATCTTTGATCTCACTCCGAGCAAACAGCACAAATCTGCAGCCTCTTGTTCAATACCCCACCCTGCAGTCATTTGAGTGGCTATGCCAAGTAATTCATTTTACTCCAAGCCCCGAATTCCTTAATTTTATTTCCTTGGTTAACACCATTTCCATATGTCTAATAAAAATAAGAAATCTAGTAGCTATATATTTGCTTTCTTCTTTTTGTGGCCATCAGTTGCCAAGTCTTGTTCAGTCTAACTTTAAAATGTCTTTAAACTGAAAATAAAGTCTCTAAATTGTCCTTAAGGCTCTCCTTGTGTCTGAGTGCTATGGTCACACTATCTCAGAATATTTTCTTAAAACAGCATGTGTGAGATCCTGCTTGTGATGCTCAGTAAACAAATATTCTCTATTATCTCTGTATTGCTTGCTATTTGCTGGCATGTTTCACCTGTGTGGGGGAAATCCTGTGTTCCTTTGCTGATCCAAATTAACCTGATCTACCAGGGCGGAACTAAGTGCACTAGGGCAATGTTCTTTTCCAAAGCACATTGTATAGTCTAGCTTGGGGGCTGGGGATGTGGTTCATTGAAGAGTATTCATCTAGCATCCCCCAAAATAAAAGCCAACAGAAACAAAACAAAGAAAAAAACCCAAGAGTAAGACAGGTACTCGGGCATTCTGCTTCGTATCCAGCTCCCTTGAGATACCAGACTCTCTGAACTACCCGCCTGGAATCATGGACTTTAGACACTCTGTGCATTTGCTAAATTGCTTACAACTGAAACACTAAAAAACGTACCTTGGGTTTCCTTAAATTGTAGTATCCTTTATTTGTTACCTGCACTTTCCATCTAAAAAACAGAAGTTAAAAAAAAAAGAGTACTTTTTAACCAAAAACTTATATTCTAGATGACCTGACATGAAAATTCCAATGCAATTTAAAGTATTTGAGACAGTACTCACATCTAAGTAAGTGTGCAAATACTGACATAATTTATAACTGAACTATTTATAATACCAAGAACAAGACACCAGAATCTGTTGTAAGTGCAACTAATATAGTTCTTTTCATTTAAATTACATTAACTTGATTTTGGTTTCTTGAGACAGAGTCTTAACTCAGTGGCCCAGGCTGGCCTCAAATTCATGGCAATTCCCTCCCAAATGCTGGGATTACAGGTATGAGTTACCATGCCTGACCAACTTCACTGAATTTTATAGCTACACAAGTCTTTGTTTATACAAATAATATCCTTAGTGCAAATAACAGACTTGCTTGCACAGTGTAACTTACCGGTCTAGTTTGATTCCATCTGCTTCCATTACATTTCTTAACACCTGTGCAACCGGGATTTCTCCAGCATAGCCTGTACCCCAACCCAGGGTATTGGACAGATCATTGCCTGTTCCCAGAGGTAAGACCGCAACCTGTGGAATGTACTTTTCTTGTCCCTAGAATATAGAAGATGTACTGCAGATTTTTCTCTTTAGATTATTTGTAGCATAATAGTATTTTGTAAAATTTAAAGACTAAAGCAACAAAGACAAAAATGTAACTGTAGGTTGTGCTAAATACTTAATCACAGTGTTTCATTCCTAATTATCCAAATTGGGGTGGTCTCCTGCTACTTTCATTCTTTTGGGGGTGGTGCTAGGGGCTGAGCCTACACATGCTAGGCATGCTCTACTCCCGGGCCATATCATCAACCCCATTATAGTAGTTCTTAAAGACAGATACCTTAATCTTCATTTCATCAACTGCATCGAGGACCCAGCCCACAGTCCCATCCCCTCCACAAACAAGGACTCGGACTGAGTGATAAGGAAGAAGAGTGCACAGCTGCAGGGCTTTGATCGGGGGTGTTTTCGTTATATCAAACACCTAAAGATAAAAGAACAAGAAAGAGATTATGTTTACTTCACATTGTCCTTCATCTGTGGATGACGGCCTTCTAGGTGAACAGAGGCATAGCTGAGCAGCAGTACTTGCTGTTGTGTCTTCCTCTGACAGTTCCCAGAGGCAGGGCCAGAACTCACTGTGGCTCACCCAGTACCCTGACCTACAGAGGAGGGCCCGGCCTCATTCTGACTAGGCCCAGGAGCTTAGACCAGCTGCCTGCCATTCTTCAGAGAGTCTAACTTTACACCATTAGACTCCCTTCTATTCACGTCAAACTACAGTGTGCTAAGCTCACCTTTAGCTAATGCTCTGTACTTTATGCTTCAAAAACAGAACTAGTGCAAATTTCTAGAAAATAACTTTTGAAAACTACACAATAATCTAAAATGTAAGGACTCCGAATATCTAGAAATATTTACTGATACAGGAAAATACTTAAGAGACTAATGCCTTCCGCATAGGTGACTTCTGTGGTATAGTTCATAGTAATCCAAGTGCAGAGACAATCTCAACTGGATAAATTACCATATCTGTTAAGTTACTTTAGTCACCAGGTTTGTAATTATGAGGCTATATTCCAAAGGTAGAAAATATTTACATCATTGAGGAAATGCAAATTTGTGCATCTTCCTGTTAATGGTACTTTCCCTCTTTGGTGCTAGGGACTGGATCTGGGGTCTTTGCATGTTAGGCAATTACTTTATCATTGGGTTACTATTTAAAAAGCATAAACTGGAAGGAAAAACATTTACATTTACATTTACTTTCTTTCTTTCTTTGTTTCTACAGGGTTTCTCTGTAGCTTTGGAGGCTCTCCTGGAAATTGCTCAGTAGACCAGGCTGGCCTCGAACTCACAGAGATCTGCCTGCCGCTGCCTTCCCAGTGCTGGGATTAAAGGTGTACGACACCACAGCCCAGCTAAAACATTTACTTTTTTTTTTGCCCAGCTAAAACATTTTTTTTTTTTTTTTTTTTTTTTTTTTTTTACATTTACAAAAGGAAAAGCAATTACATTTCTGATTACTACAAAATGGATCTTTACCTGTTAGTATATTCTCACAATCTTTTTTTGAAAGAATGTGCTTTTGAGCTGGGTGGTGGTGGCACACACCTTTAATCCTAGCACTTGGGAGGCAGAGGCAGGTGGATCTCTGTGAGTTTGAGGCCAGCCTGGTCTATAGAGTGAGTTCCAGGACAGCCAGGGCTGTTACACAGAGAAACCCTGTTTCAAAAAAAGAAAAAAGAAAAAAATTGTGTTTTTGAGAGAGGGTCTTACAGTGTAGACCAGATTGGCCTCGAATTTAGAGATCTACCTGCTTCTGCCTCCTGTGTACTGGGATTATAGGAATGTGCCATTACACCTGGATTATGTACATTAAATTTTAATGGAATGCCTCCCCCCATTTAAGAAATCAAGGTATAAATTACTCATCAAAAAAATTCCTCTCTAAAAATGAAAAGTAGTTGATTTTAGTTGGTGCAACTACTATCATGATCCAGTTTATAACTTTTTTTTTGTTTTTTTGAGACAGGGTTTCTCTATGTAGCTTTGGAGCCTGTAGACCAGGCTGGCCTCGAACTCAGAGATCCACCTGCCTCTGCCTCCCAAGTGCTGGGATTATCAGCGTGCGCCACCAATGTCTGGCCAACTTTTTTTTTTTTTTTTAAAAGATGCCTCAAGGTCCCTTTATAGTCACTTCCCATTTCCAGCCCCAGGCAATCAAGAGTCTGCATTCTCTGACTCTATTGATTTGCCTTTTCTGGATAGGTCACACAAATAAAATTATTCAGTATGGTTGATCCCTTCAGCCTTGATTGATCTAGCAGTGCTTTTTTAAAGTTCACTTACTATCACATATAGTTTGTTTCTTTCATTCACTGAAAAGTATTCTACTTTATGAATATACAATTTGTTTATCCACTCACCAGCTGATGGAGAATCCGAGCTGTTCCATTTTTAGACAATTATGGATAATACTGCCATTGAACATTTGCATCCAAATCTGTCAGACATAGGCTTTATTTTCCTTGAAATAGGAATGCTAGGTGATATGGTTTTTGTTTTACTATATATTTGAAAGGTGTGAGTCTTTCATAATTATTATTTTTTCCTATGACTAGGTAGTGATTTAAGGAATCAGTAACCACTGCAATTCAGGGAAAATAAAAGCTAAAAATCAGGAGACTTAGAGAGCAAGGTTTTCTCTTTAGTTACCTGGACTGGATTTAACAGGATCCTAAACTCTCCCAACAGTTCTTCTCCCATGTTATTTCCACTACGAGAGTTGGCCAGGATTATTAATGGAGTCCACTGCTTTCCAAACTTAGAAGCTAGCTATAAAAAAACATGAACAAAAGGGAGTTAGTGTCTGAGAGATGGCAAATATAACCCTTAGTGGTAATGGTGTTATAATTTGCTGAAATAACAATTACACCAGCACTATGAACACGGTAATGAAAAACAAGGTCCAGAATGGTAGAGAGCCTTATAGCGTGGCCTTTCACTCAACGTAGACTTCTTATGTGCATATGTCTCCATGTAGAGGTGAGGCAACCCCCTCCTTACCTTCCTCACTTCTGAGATAGTCTCACTATATAGCCTGGGTGTGCCTGGAACTCATCAAGGTCAACCTGTCCCTGCCTCTCAAGTGCTGGGATGAGAGATGTTGGCCATATCCCCACACCAAGAAAGGCTACCTGTCTTGAAATAAGGTCTCCAGATGGGTCATGGGACTTGCCAGCTTTGGCAGGCCCCAGAGTACTGCCTTCCTAAGGCAGGGATTACACAGAGATGCCACCGTGCTCTCAGTCTTTCACACAGATGCTGAGGATTGAGTTTAGGTCCTCATGCTTGCATGCCAAGTACTTACTGACCGAGCCACTTTCCCAGCCTCTACAGTATTCTTCCCATGTCACCCCCCCCTTAAAAAAATTTATTCTTTAAGTTAATTTTTATTTAAATTAAAAACAATCTTGCTGGGCGTTGGTGGCACACGCCTTTAATCCTAGCACTCGGGAGGCAGAGGCAGGTGGATCTCTGTGAGTTCGAGACCAGCTTGGTCTACAAGAGCTAGTTCCAGGACAGCCTCCAAAGTCACAGAGAAACCATCTCCAAAAAAAAAAAACAAAAAACCCAACAACAACAAAAACAACCAATATCATTTTATATACCAATCCCAGGAGCTCCCTCTCCGACCCCTCATCACTCTTCAGGGAGAGTAAGGCCTCCCATGGGGGAATCAAAGTGTGTCACATCATTTGGGGCAGACCATGTCATCCTTTTTAAGAAATTAAATTTAGCCGGGCATTGGTGGCGCACACCTTTAATCCCAGCACTCGGGAGGCAGAGGCAGGAGGATCTCTGTGAGTTCGAGGCCAGCCTGGTCTCCAGACTGAGTGCCAAGAGAGGCTCCAAAGCCACACAGAGAACCCCCCCCCCAAAAAAAAAGAAATTAAATTTAACCAATTTTTAATATATTTTAAATGTATTTTTATGTGTATGAGTGTTTTGTCTACATGTATATACATGTATCATGTGCATGTAGTGTCCTCAGAAGCCAGAGGGTGTCAGTCTGGAGCTGGAGTTACAGACAGCTGTGAGCTGCTATGTGGCAGCTAGGAATTGAACTCAGGACCTCTGGAAGAACAGCCAGTGCTCTTAACTTCTGAACCATCTCTCCAGCCCCTGGTTCTTAGTTTTTGCTATGCATTCTAGAACTTGCTATATAGACTGAGGTGACCTTAAACTTTTGGTCCTACAGCCTTATATCCAGAGTGTTAATATTAAAGTTGTTTGCCATCATGATGGGCAGTGGGTAAGGTTTTATAGCTTACCATAGTGAAATTTTAAACCCCTTAACCTCTTATTTACTTAATTCCCATTTTTCTCAAATATACAGTTTAAGTGAATAAATTCATAAGAAAATAAATTATTACCGCTTCATAATCAGTCTTTTTGTTTTTACGCATCTGGTTAATGGAAGTTAAATAACCTGGTGGGATGATGAGATTTTTGAATTCTCCAAAATCACACTTCTCATTCTTTAAGCTACTTTTCATGCACTCATCATGGACTGTTTTCTGGCACCAAATGCACCTGAGGAAAGGAGAAACAGCCGTCAATTAATTTTAAACCAATGTTCCTAATCCACAAACCACATTTCTGTCTAAAGTTAAAACAGTGTATCCACACACAAATAAATGTAATAAAAAACTATAAGAAAATACTGCTCCTGGGCATTCATGCACGCCTTTAATCCCAGACCTTGGGAGGCAGAGGCAGGCAGATCTCTGTGAGTTCAAGGTCAGCCTGGTCTACAGAGCTAGTTCTAGGACAGCCAGAGCTATTAAACAGAGAAATCCTGTCTCAAAAGAAAAACAAAACAAAACAAAACAAAAAAACAAATGAAAAGCATAAATAATTCTTTAGGGTGATTTTGTTAACATGGTAGACACCTACAGGTATGCCTTCCTAACAAGGTCACGCTAGAACGACAACTGTATGCATTAGAAATGTGTATCCTTTGGTTTAAACATGTTTATGACATCTGTAGTTCCTCAGGTCTGGTTTGGAAATTTTTCAACTTGTATGTAGAAAGTAAAGCATCCTATTTCTTTTAGGAGCTGATAAACAGTTCCATGTCTCCTTCTGAAACAAAGATAAAATGTGTGTATTCAGATTTGCCTCTGTATTTGGTACCAGTGCCAAAGACAGGCAGGAACAGTGTTGCCAAGACTTGGGCTTTCTATTATTAATCTGCTAAGCTATTTAATCCACTCACAGATAAGACAGATCTGACTGAGCAAAAGCAGGCCACCAGAGGACAGAATTAACTGATTTAAAAAGGAGGGAATAAACACTTTGCTGCCAGATGTTAACTCTTGGCCTTCTATTTTAAAAGTGTTTTTTTTCTTTCTTTCTTCCTTTTGGATGTTGAGATTTGTCAATTATTTGCTGTTTACTGAAGAGTTCTATTGATGGCTAAAAATAGTTACCTGTACAATGTGTTAAAGACAATAACACAACTTGCTCATGCCATTTATAAATACTGGCTTTTAACATGAGAAACTATAATAGATGGTTATATAGTTGGTGTGAATACATCCATCTACTGGTGTCCTACAGCTAATTACTATTGTATATATTATTATTGTTTTTAAGATAAAATACTGCTATTTGACCCTCTCTGACCTCGAACTCTCAATCTTAATGCCTCGGGTTCCAACAAGCCTGGCTTGGGTAATTTTTTCCCTCTAAGGCTGGGGATGGAACCCAGAACTTGTTCACCATATTCAAATGTTCTCTTACCTACATCTCCAGCTCAGCTAACTCTAACCTACTAGATTATATTTATTTTTCCTCATAGCACACCACATTTATTTGTAGGGAAATGGTCAAATTTCACCATTTTTTTTTTTTCCCCTGAGACAGGGTTTCTCTGTGTAGCTTTGGAGCCTATCCTGGCACTCGCTCTGTAGACCAGGCTGGCCTCGAACTCAGAGATCCGCCTGCCTCTGCCTCCTGAGTGCTGGGATTAAAGGCATGCGCCACCAATTTTTAAGCTAGGTAAGACTATGAGATACTGATCTACTTAACTTCCTGATTTCACACCTGCATCATTAATCAGATCTAGCATGTAAATTGTCACCATCACAGAGAGGAGCATAAGGGGCACATAGTTTCCCATTCAGAAGTTCTTGTATCAAAACCACAAGCAAACAAACATCCCCCTCAACAAAACAAAACAAAACAAAACCCTATAGTGTTGAAAAAACAAGGGCAGGGGCTGGGGAGATGGCTCAGCAACTAAGAGCATTTGTTACTCTCGTACAGGACCTGGGTTAGATTCCCAGTGACCACATGGTAGCTCACAAGTCTCTGTAACTATAGTTCCAGGGCCTCGACATCCTCGTCTGACCTGGAGCACCAGGCACACATTCGGTACACAGATATACATGCAGGCAGAATACCACATATAAAATAAACCTAACCCCAAACAAGGGCAGAGCCTAGGTTCTGCCTCCTGGCACAGATTCACACATGATGGTGGCCTTACAAAAGAGAATCATAACCTAAATTAGTAAGTTATTATTGAACATAACCTGAAGGCTACCTACTGAAGTATTTCCTACTAACTTCCCCTGGGAAGAAAATTATGCTTGAGAATTTAAGAATGTTAAAAAGGTATAATGCCATCTTCACACAACTCTTCTGGAGCACTTAACAGTACAAGATGCTTTTCAGGTGGGAAAGTGATCTTTACATACTGGATTCTGCATTTCTTCCTAGTTGGTATCATACATATATTCCTAGGCTATTATATATATTTTTAAAACATGGTTTAGAAAGAAATGTGTAATATTACATTATATGTATTATTTCATAACTTATTCAATCTTTTTTTTTTTCCTGTTAAAACATTTTCTTTTCAGCCATGCAGTGGTAGTGCACACCTTTAATCCCAGTACTTGGGAGGCAGAGGCACTCAGATCTCTGAGTTCTCAGCCAGCCTGGTCTACAGAGCTAGCTCCAGGACAGCCAGGGATACACAGAGAAACCCTGTCTCAAAAAACCAAAACCAAACTAAACGAAAAACAAACAAACAAAAAAACCAAAAAACTTTAGGGTTTTATATATTCCAGGCTAGCCTAAAACTTCATATCTGGTCAAGGATGACCTTGAACTGTGACCCATCTGCCCCACATTTCAGGCGTTCAGATCATAGGTGTACAGGGACCAGAGGAATTTATGTGGTGCTGGAAATCGAACCTGGGGCTTCATGCATGCTAGGCAGGCATTCTACCAACTAAGTTACATCTCCAGTTCCTAAAAACATTTATGTACTATCAGTACCTAAAAACTTGTCTTGATGATAAAAAAGTTACTCTATTGTTTTAATTCAGAGGTCTTTGATAACTAGGTAAACTGGCTGTTTTTGCGTCTTTTTTGTGTGTGTGAATTTAGTTATGTGCTATATCCATTGTTTTTTCTTTTCTTTTGAGACAGGGTCTTACTTTATAGCTTTGGCCATGTCCATCTTTCCTTAGTTTTTAAAAACTTTCATATATGTCTCTATCTGCCTATCTTGTAATGTATCACTTATTCGTTAGAGGGGCACACCACAGCACATGTAGAGGTCAGAGCAACACTTCTGGGAGTTTGTTTTCTTCTTCTATCATGTAGGCCCTGGAGACTCAACTCAGGTTGTAAGACTTGGTGGTAAGAGTCTACCCATTGAGCCATCCTTTTGAACCTTTCATTAGTTCTTTTTGTTTTGTTTTGTTTTTTCAAGACAGGGTTTCTTTGTAGCTTTGGAGCCTATCCTGGAACCGACTTTGTAGACCAGGCTGGCCTCAAACTCAGATCTGCCTGTCTCTGCCTGCCAAATACTGGGATTAAAAGCATGTGCCTCTTCTGGCCTCTGCAGATACTAAAGCACATGTGACACACAGACATACACATAGGCAAAAGACCCACACATGTACAATTAAAATAAAATCTTAAAAAAATTTAAGTCAGATTTAGGAATGTGGTGAGCACATGTCTTTGCTTCATTGTGAATATCTTGGTTTAAGCTTATTTTCCAGCAAAATTATTAATATTGCTCTCTTCTGCTCTCAATGTGTTCCAGGGTGGACGATAAATTCATACATAACAATAATTTTAGCTGGGTAGTGGTGGCTCACGCCTTTAAATCCCAGCACTCGGGAGGCAGAGGCAGGTGGATCTCTGTGAGTCCGAGACCAGCCTGGTGTAACAAGAGCTAGTTTCAGGATAGCCTGCAAAGCCACAGAGAAACCCTGTCTGGAAAAACCAAAAATAAAGAATTTTAGACTGGCAGTGGTAACACATGCCTTTAATGCAGCTCTTAGAAGGCAGAGGCAGGCGGATCTCTGTGCCTGAGGCCAACCTAGTTTACAGAGCAAGTTCCAGGATAGCCAAAGCTACACAGAGAAACCCTGTCTTAGAAAACAAAGTTTTTTTTTTTTTTTTTTTTTTTTTTTTTTTTTTTTTTTTTTTTTTTTTTTTTTTTTTTTTTTCAAAGAGAGGTTGGAGAGATGATCAACAGTTAAGAGTATGTACTGCTCTTGAAGAGCACCCAAGCTGGGGTGCCAGCACCCATGTAGGGAAGCTTACAATCACCTACAACTTCAGTACAGGTGTGTAGATTGTGTCATCCCTTGTGGCTTCTGTGTACATACCCCCCACACATAGACACACAGTAGCTTCATAGCTAGTACTCCTTTCTGCTTCAGCTCTTGGAAGTGTGTGTGGGACTTTCTAGTCACTGGAAATAAATCCTGTTACACAGTGAAAGTCTGACAAGGCTCTGACTAGGCTAGGTGTTAGAAATCTTGGGAACCAGTTCTATTTTATCCTCAATTTTTCTCAACTGTTCAAACAAGGGAGAGCAAACGATCTGCAAAGCTTCCCACCAACCTCCAACACAGAAGCCTATTTCAGACAGCATCCCACAGACAAAATCCATTCTTCCGTGTAGATGCTGAAGCCATAAAAACAGCCTCAGTTTAACTTGGGTGACTCATGGGAGACACTCATCCTGAAAGATCTGACTAAAGAAATATTCCTTTTGGGGCCGGTGAGGCCCAATGGCCTGAAGACTTGTTAGAGTCACAGGATTCCATGCAGTGGAAGGAACTCACTCCAAAGTTCTGTCTTCTGACGTCCACATATACAACTCTCATAATGTGCACCCCTCTCATAAATAAACACATGGAAAACATAAAAAATGCTCTTTTCTTTCTTTCTTTCTTTCTTTCTTTCTTTCTTTCTTTCTTTCTTTCCCCTCCTCTTTCTTCCCCCCCCCCTCGCTCTCTCTCTCTCTCTCTCTCTCTCTCTCTCTCTCTCTCTACCTCCCTCCCTTCCTTCCTTCCTTCCTTTCTTTGCCTTGTGTGTCAAACACCAAGAGCTGCCTGTGTTACTGAAAGAAATCAAAAGCCCTGCTTTGGGATGACCCTTGTTTTCACAGTTCCAAACCAAGAACCAGTTGCTTTGTGACTGCTGTAAAGTTACTTTGTGTGCCCTTCATTTCCTCTTAAGTAAAATGGGTGCTACAGAGTAGCCACAAGAAAGGCAGCCACTTTGCAGAGACCTAAGAGGCCTTTGATGAAAATTAAGAGCCCTGGCAGGGGTGGGAAGGTAAGGGGTGGTGGTGGAGCTCGATTGGCAGAGTGACTGAGTAATATGTTCAGGGCCTTTGAGTTGGATCGCCAGCATACTATGAACTGGCTTGTAATCTCAGCATGGAGAAGGCAGAAGGATCAAAAGTTCAAGGTCATCCTCTGCCATCCAGTGAGTTTGAGGCCAGCCTGGGCTACAGGAGACCCTGTCTTAAAAACGGGGAGGGAAAAAACAACAACAACAAAAAACCAAACAAGCCGGGCGTTGGTGGCACACGCCTTTAAATCCCAGCACTTGGGAGGCTAAGGCAGGCGGATCTCTGTGAGTTCAAGGCCAGCCTGTTCTCCAGAGCGAGTGCCAGGATAGGCTCCAAAGGTACACAGAGAAACCCTGTCTCAAAAAAACAAAAAAAAAAAAAAAAACCCAAAAAACAAAAAACCCCAATCAAAAGGGGAACTGCCAACTGCCATGAGTGTCAGGGATGCTTGTGAGTGAGTGGTTTAGTCCATTTGCTGCGACCGATTTTAGGTCTCTCGACCCAGTGTTTGCAATCCTGCCCCCCACCAGGGCCATACCTGTAATCGCAGAGCTTAGGCTGGCTGCCGCACTGCTGCTTGCAGACCACACAGTAAGAGCACAGGGGCACATTACCGCGGATCCAGTGGTGAGGCAAGGCATCTGCGTCCCGGCCGTCGTTCTTGAGCATGATCTCCTTGCATGGGAAGCGCTTGTCAGCTTTCTTGAGGCAGCCCTCGTCCACGCGGAGCCCGCAGCAGTCGCAGAAGGCTCCCTGAAGGATGTGCTGCGCGCACACGCAGCAGTAGGTGGGGTGGCTGAACAGGTCGGTGTCACGCCAGCCGTGCTTGCTCTTGCGGAAGATGTCCCTGCGGAGCAGTTGCCGGCGTGACCGCTGAAGGCTACACCAGAAGGTGATGAACACCGGCAGCAGCACGGAGCACAGCGTCCATAGGACCAAGTAGCCATCGGGAAGCAGGCTCTGGGTAGGCGGACTGGTCCGCTGGTCCCCCTCCATCTTCCCAGGCTGGGGCGTGGCCTAGGGAGCAGCGGCTCGCCTTTAGGACTCACAGCGTGGGGTGCGGCTCGCCTTCGCTGCGCGCGGCCTCGGCCCCCGGAGCCCCGCACCCGCGGGCTCCGTCCAGCATAGGCCAGGCCCGCACCACCGCGCACACAACGGCCAACCCACGGGGCCTCGCCCGCGCCCCTCTCGCGAGGTCTCTGGAGACCTCCGTCCGCTCGCGCGGACCCGGTTTCTACCTGCAGCCTAGCCTGCGGTCGCCGTCCCAACCTCACGCAGCGAAGTGCGCTTCGGGTGAGGAGGCCGCGCTGATGGCGCGCACCTGCGCAGTCCGCACGCTGGCCCACCACGGCGAGGGATGGGCGGGGCCTGAGGATCCCAGAGCATGGGCGGGGTCGGATAGGACAAGGCCTATGGCGGCACATTCCGCTGGTGGGCGGGGTTAAAGAAAGGCGGGGCCTGCTCTGATGAAGCCCATTTATAGGCGGGACGAGATGTAGGGCGGGGCCCGGGGCTGGCCTCCCCTTGGGTGGGAGGGGCCAGGTATGAGGGCGGGGTCAGCTTGGAGGTGGTCAGGAATGTTAGACTTTGAATGGATCTGGAGCATAGAAAAGGATGAGCACCCTGGAAGCGAAGAGGTGGTGTGCATTGAAGCGTAGTTTAGGGAAATAAGGGGCGGAGTAATACTGAGGATGTTAATGTAGATGGCTGACCGACAACATTTCGGAACCACAGGAAGTTCTACCATAAACAGTATTTGATCTTCAGTCTGACCCACTTCCTCACCGGTGGAGGTGGAATTGACATGGTTATGTATGTCATAACCATGGAGAAAACTGTCTCTTTTGAAAGTGTAGCGTTCTGAATGGCACAAGTAAAAGACTGCCAAAAGTCACCAGTGCTCTTTCTTTCTGTCTGTATTTACTTATTTATTGGTGCTGGGGATCGAACTCAGGGGTATCACATGCTAGACAACACTAGACTTCTTACTGGTATCACACACACATACTGGATGATTGCTAGGTGCCTGTGTGGTCCCGGGGTTGTCCAGTCCCAAACACACAGAGGCTTCTATTAATTATAAACTGTTTGGCTGATGGCTCAGGCTTCTTACTGGCTAGCTCTCTCTTAATTATTTACCTATTTCTATTAACCTATGCATTGCCATGAGGCTGTGGCTTACCCATAATGTTCTGGTATGTTACTCCTTCAGTGGCTACATGGCATCTCTCAGGGGACTCTTCTGTGTTTCTCTTCCCAGCCTTCTAGTTTAGTAGCCCTGCCTATACTTCCTGCCTGGCTACATCCTGCCTGTCCATTGGCCAAAACAGCTTTATTCATCAACCAATAAGAGAAACATATTTACAGCATACAGAAGGACATCCCCCATTAAGCCTGATCAACAAAGTGAGTTTCAGGATGGCCAGGGCTACACAGAGAAACCCTATCTCGTAGAATCAAAAAAACAAAAAAACAAAAAACAAAAAACAACAACAACAACAAAAAAACGGAGAAAAAGAATTATTAAGGGCTGGAGAGATTGCTCAGAGGTTAAGAGCTCTTCTAGAGGAATTGAATTTGGTTCTCAGCACCGGTGTCTGGTAGCTCCAGGGAATTAGACGCCCTCTTCTGGCCTCCTCTGGAACCTGCATGCATGTGACACAAAATAAAATAGCTGGGCATGGTGGCCTGCAGAGGAGGATGGATCTCTGTGAGTTCAGGACCAGCCTGAACTACATAGCAAGGTCAACCCCATCCATAACAGCTTACCACATCGCAAATCACTTCGTTTTACTTTGGCATCCATGAGGCAGTGAGATGGTTCTGTAGGAGTCGGTTCTCTTCTTCCACCTGTGAGCTCCAAGAATCAAACTGAGGTTATCAGGCTTGGCAGTAGGTTCTAGAGAAGGAGCTGGCTGAGACTGCATCTTCTGATGCTCTCTGAAACCCCAAGAAAGCGAGTCAGCCCCTCTTCTTCCTTATAAGGGGTCATGTCTGCACACTTGGAGTCATGCCCATAGGATGTGGCCACCACCACAAGTTCACTGGCAAAGCAAGATGCCACTGCATGAAGGAATTAACGCTTATGAAAAAGTTTTAAAGAACAGTTTCCTGAGTGTAGTGGTGCACACCTGTTCCCTCACCGGGGAGGCTGAGGCAGGAGGTTTCCTTCAAGTTTGAGGCCAGCTTACGCTTCATAGTGATATCGAGGCCATTTTTTTTTTTTTTTTGAGACAGGGTTTCTCTGTGTAGCTTTGGAGCCTATCCTGGCACTCGCTCTGGAGACCAGGCTGGCCTCAAACTCACAGAGACCCGTCTGTCTCTGCCTCCTGAGTGCTGGGATTGAAGGCGTGCACCACAAACGCCCGGCGATATTGAGGCCAATTTGAACGCTGTCTCTATCAAAAATAGCCCCTCTGGCAAGTCAATATTATCTGATAATTTTGCCTGAATAGGAAAAGTTTCACAGCAACTTCCCCCTCTGAGAAATCTTAGTCTGTTCCTGTGAGGTTGAAGCCAGAGCCTCCTGCATGCTAAGCCCATGCACTACCACTGAGCTGCACACAGTCCCTAGCTGTTATCACCATAGCCAATTGGCAGATTCACCATCCTCAGTTTATATGCAAAGGAAGTTCATGTGGTATTACACAGCCCTATGCTACTGAACTGGGGCTTTGACCCTAAGTTTGTCTCATACCAAAGCCGTGATGCTCTTAACCCAGCTAGATGTTTTTTGAAGGCTACCTACTATCGTCTAAAAATTCGGGTTGCCTAGTTCCTGCCCAGTCCCCCTTAACCAAATTGTGGTGGAAATAGGCATCTCCCTTCCCTACAAGATCTCCATGTTACTCTTTGATTGATTCATTTAAAACTGTTGTTTAAGTTCTGAAATCTTTCATATATCAGAGTTTAAAACTACATGCTCAAGGGGCTGGAGAGGTAGCTCCGTGGGGGAAGTGCCTACTGTGCAAGAATGAGAGGACCTGCATTTGATCTACAGGATGTACATAAAAAGCTGATTGTGGAGCCGGAGAGATAACTCAGTGGTTAAGAGCACTGGCTGCTCTTCCAGAGGACCAGGGTTCAATTCCCTGCAGGCACATGGCAACTCACAACTGTCTCCAGTCCCAGAGAAGTATGATGCCCTCTTTTGGCCTTTTAGGGCATTGTATGCACATGGTGTACAAACATAGATGCAGGCAAAATGACCATACACATAAAATAAAATAATGGATAGTTTTATTGAGACAGGGTTTCTCTGTATTGCTTTGGATCCTATCCTGGCACTCACTCTGGAGACCAGGTTGCACCAACGCTCAGCAGGATAAAGTTGTTTTTAATGTAAAAAGAAAAGGAAAGAGCCGGGCGGTGGTGGTGCACGCCTTTAATCCCAGCACTCGGGAGGCAGAGGCAGGAAGATCTCTAAGTTCGAGACCAGCCTGGTCTACAAGAGCTAGTTCCAGGAAGCTACAGAGAAACCCTGTCTTGAACCCCCCCCCCAAAAAAAAAAAAGGAAAGGAAAGGAAAGGAAAGAAAAGCTGAATGTGGCCGGGCGGTGGTGGCACATGCCTTTAATCCCAGCACTCCGGAGGATCTCTGTGAGTTTGAGACCAGCCTGGTCTACAAGAGCTAGTTCCAGGACAGCCTCCAAAAGCCACAGAGAAACCCTGTCTCAAAAAAATAAAAAAAAAAGAAAAAAAGAAAAAAAGAAAAAAAGAAAAAAAGAAAAAGGTGAGTGTGGTGGATTGGGCTTGCAATCCCAGCTATACCTCGAGGTATAGATGAGAAAATTCTTGGGGCTCTCTGGTTAGTTGTACAGTAGCACCTGAGGAACAACACCCAAAGTTCATCTCTGGCCTCCACACATGTGAGCATGAGGCACATGTGCACACCATACATACGGTTTGAAATGTCGTAATAGAATACATACCTGTGAACCTACTACCCAGATGGGCATATTATACATTCATAGCTGTTTCGGGTGTGTTGTCTCCCTCTCCCCTGCTACAGGAAATGCCTGTCCTGAACTTGGGGTCATTTCCTTGCTCTTCTTTAGTTTTACCATCCCCAAGAATGTCCCTAAGCAATATAGCTTTGTTTAAAAAAAAAAACAACAAAAAACTAAAACAAGCCTCAATTTGGTCCTATCCAGAAGGAACAGTAAAGTCCCATGTTTGGTTGGACCTTCCTGTTTACCCCTGCACATTCTAGGGAGCCCATTCCTCTCTCTCCACCCAAAACCCTGCCCTCTCAGAGAGTCTCCTAGCAAAGGAAAGGTGACAAAAGTTCAGTTCTGCATTCTTGGTGGCTGCTGTAGCTTCTTCCCCGGAAAGTTGCCAGCTGCCCAAGTCCCTGCCTCTTGTGGAGTTTCTTTCCTGCCAGCCTGGTCCCGTAGCCACCTTGCCCCAAATAAGCACACAAAGACATATTAATTATAAAACTGTCACCCAATGACTAGGGCTTCTTATTGGCTAGCTTTGTCTTAATTATTAACCCATTTCTATTAATCTATGCATTTCTGCATGGTCTTGGCTTATTGGAGAATGCCTGGACCTGTTTCTCCTTTGGCTGGCTACATGCCAATTGTCCTGGCAGGCTCCCTCTGCCTACCTTTCCCAGAATTCTCATCATCTCTTAGTCCAGCCTATCTTCCTGCCTTATTGACCAATAGTGTTTTATTCATCAATCAATAAGAGAAACATATATACAGAAGGACATCCCCCATCACCTGCCTAAGCACTCAGCTTTTGACCATGCTTGGTCACAAACCCAGCTTGTGGCAGACATGCCATCACCCCTCACCTACAATCTATGATACTTTCTTGCCTTAGCCTGGCCATACAACTTCTTTGGCTTCGTTCTATGAGGCCATTGAACCCAACAGGGAATTGCTTTGCTCAATATACTTGTTATACTTTTTCAATTTGGCTTGATCTGGCTTACTGCATTGGTGGAGAAACTTATTATGGGATGGGGGTGGGGGCAGAAACCTATTACCTTCTATATGAAGGTCACCAGGGGAATTTAAGCTTAGTGTCTCAGGGACCCAGAGCATGGATTCAGCTTCCCTGAGAAGATCCCAGCCTGAGAAATCAGTGGGCAAGGTCTTGGGAAGATATCTCACCACGGTGGGAAATTTCCAGGCATGGCTATAGGAGGATGCTGTGGGGTAATGAGTATGATGCTCGTGTGACCCAGGTAATAGGGTGAGGTGGTGGAGTGCAGGGACCTCCACAGCTCTGGGCGCCCAGATGCATAGTGGTGCCCAGCATACAAGGTGCCCTGGCTTCAGCCTGCTTTCCTTCACTTACTATTAAAATGTCCTTCTCTTTTTT